TCAAGCATAAACAAACGGATTAGACCTAGTAAAGAAGGGAGCAAGTCTAAAATTTACAAGGACAATTTCATACTTCTAGGTGGCCCAGCTGGAGTTTTAGAAGAAGTGGCCGGCTGTTTCTCAGCCGCCGCATGTTTCCTGGCAGAACCAGGAGAGCTCGCAACAGTCGTCCTCCGGGCCTTGGGGTCCGGCTGTTGGGAAGAAGAAGCTCTTGGAGCGCCCGTCTAAAAAGGAAGAAAAGAGTCAGTATATGCATAAACACAACTCCAAAAAAAAGGGTGAAAGGTTCGAAGCCCACCAAGGGTGCCCCCTTGTTGGGGAGTCGGTTGAAGACTGTTGCATGATGGAGGCCCGCAACATGGCCGCCGCAGACTTGGAGGCGGTAATTTTTCTCATGGCGTCCGCTGCAAAAACAAATAGCAAAGTTAATATAAGTCATAAAAAGAAATGCATGGAACAACAGAGTATTCGACAGGCCGGCTACCTCTTGAGCACCAACTGCTGAGGCCACAGGCGGCCAAAAAGTACTCGTCGTAGAGCCATTTGAAGCTCGGGACGCAGTGCAGGGGTACTTGCTCTCGTACCCCTGAAGTAGAGTTCACCTTCGACTCTACTTTGAAGAGTCCTTTATCTAGGATCTCTTTCTTAGCCTTGGGGGGAACAGGCGGCATGCTGCGGCCGCCTACAAGAAGGGGAAGATTCCTGTTCCACCTGTTGAAGCGCTTGTTCAGCTCTGTGTCTGAACTCTCAATGATGAGGAAGGTGCTCCGCCAGTCCTTCCATTTGTTTGCTTTACCTCTCGTCATGAGGTAGCCCCTGTGGCTCGTCAATTGATACCAGCCGGTACCGCCTGCCTTAGGGGGCTGAGGTAGTTCATGTGGGCGAAAGCCTCAAAGCTCGGCTCCACCCCGTGCAGTTCGCACCCGGCCACATAGCCGAGTACGTTGACCCAGGAGTTCGGGGCTAACTGCCATAACCCCAACTCATACCCATCCAAGATCCGCTGAACAGCCGGATGTAATGGGAAGCGCAACCCAACCTTGATGGCCGCCTCGTAGCAGCCAAAGCAGGCGCCATCATAACTGGTACCAGCCGGCCAGACGACTGTGTCTTCTGGATCCGGCACAAACACTAAAAAGCCGGGGCCCATTGTGTGGTTTGCGATAAAGCTCTCCACTTTCTCTTACATGGCTGTGATCCGGCCCCGAGGTACCGTGCAGTAGTAGGGGGTATTTTGCTCTCGGTGAGAGGCGGATGGCTCCGCCTAATCGTCCCCCTTCTCAACTGCGTGAGAAAGCCTCGCCTCTTGTAGGCGACTGTTTTTCTCTTCTGTGTCCAGGGAAGCATGGCCAGAAGAGCTAGACTCGGAATCGTCCTCTGACGAGTCCGAAGAGGACGACTCCTCCCCTCTCCCGGAGGGGCCCGCCTCCTCTCCTTTAAAAGGAGCAGGAGAGAATGAAGAATTGTCAACTGTAAAATGGGAAGGGGTCACTTTGACTCCTCCCTCAGAACTGCCGGCTTTCAAGCCGCTTTGTTTCACCTCCACATCTGGCGCCTGGTCAGATGTTTCACTAATCGGCACCCTGTGGGAGGAGCCGTCTGAGTTTGAGATCCTAGCAGTATTTTTTGTTCTGGCCATCATGCTCTACATAGACACAGATACAGTCGGACTTTGTATAAAGGGCAAAGATGGGTCCAGAAAAGGGCAGGCGGCACTCCTAGTCCTAGATTCAGCCGTCCCCGGTGACCGGCTGATCACTAACCTAGGTCGTGTCGTGTGCTTCCGTGGTGCCATTTCAAAAAAGAATAAAGTAAAGAGAAAATTAAGAGTAAGAGAACCGACGGTTACCTGAACGAGTGACGTTGATGGAGTTCTGAAAATCCTGTGCAGTCGGCTTGTCAGAGCAGGCGGTAGGCAGAAAGGGTCCAAAATGTCAGAGCAAGTTCAGGGGTCTGAATGTTCTCTCACAAAGTTCTCAAGTGTGAAAATGACTGAAGTCAACACTCCCTTATATAGGCGAAGTGAGAAGGCGAAGGGTCACTTCCAGAATTCATAATTTGGGCGGGAGAATCTCTCGGCCTTTCGCCGAGTGACACCTATAGCAGGCCGTCGCCTGTTACAGTGCGACACCTGTCACAGGTAACACGTGACCAGTCACGTGCCACCTGTGAGGGGCAAATGATTAGGGGATTTTGCTCCCACCAATCGGAATGCGCCACGTGGGCCAATCAGGTCCTGCCAAGTGTCCCCCAGTTGGAACTGTCAGGCTTGCCACGTGGCACACGCTTATTCGTCCATCTTGGACCTATTATGTCATGACACGTGGCATACTCCATGCCTAATGGAGAAACCGGCCACCCAGGCCCAACTTCCGAGGGAAGCCCAATCAGCCCTAGGTTAACCTAAACCTAGGATTGGCACGTTTCCCAAGGTTATAAATACCTCCCTTAATCCTCATTAAGAGAGGAGGACATGCTAAAAACGCAGATTACACACATTAAACACTCTCACCTAGAGAGACCCAATCACTTTAATTTCCGCATTAATTACTCCTTAATCAAGTACTAACTTGACCGTCGGAGGCGGAGCTCCCACCACCAGGAGTCTCCGTTGTTTTGCAGGTACAGGCGTCCGGTTCCAGTCTCGGAATTGTAACTCTCCCGCAGGACATCAGAAAACCCCGAAACACGTACCATCAAATAGGTAAATAGTACTTCCTTCGATTTTTTTTTAATTTGCATCACTTAGTGATGCGCGGAGTTTTAGGAGAGTAATGTAATATTGTGAGTGGGTGAATAATTTATTATAGTAAAAGTAAGATGGAGACCAAGAAAGAGAAAGAATATGAGTGAGAATAGATATTTTTATTATATAAGTGGGGACCATGGGAGAGAGAAATGATAAAATAATATAAGTAGAGTTTAAAGTAAGAGAGAAAAAAGATACTCCCTCCGTCCCCGAAACTTCGACCCTTTTGGCCTAATTTTAGTCCCAAAATGTTCATCCCATTTGCATTTAAATACCCACTAATTTGCAATAATATTTGTGCAAAATTAGCTTCCCCATGCAAATTTTGCTTTTTCTATATATTTTTATTACTTTCTCTCTCTACTTTTTTGCAATTCCAATATAAAATTCTCTTTTCAATGTACTTTTCTTAGTTTCCCCATACACTCTTACACTTCCAATTTAACTTCTTAATACCCGCGAAATCAACCCAAAAGGATCGAAGTTTCGGGGACGGAGGGAGTAAAATATTATATAAAGTTACCAAATAAAGAAGTGATGCATTTAAAAAAAAAAAAAAAACACCCATAAAAGGAAAGTGATGTATTAAAAAAATATGAAGGGAGTACCATTAAATGCTGTAGTGGTATAAATATTTGTCAAATGGTACAAATATGCATGTAAATTGCACATCAAATATTGCACCACTGTGAGATTTAATAGTACTACTAAGACAATTTATAATCTAATGATATAATATACATGCATAATAATACACAAAAAGTATCACTGTAACCATGAAAAGTACCATTTTGAATATCAAATGTACCATTTCACTTTCCCGCTTTCTCCAAACTAGCCCCGCTGCCAGCTATACGTGGTCCCAACAAATACTTCAACTTATTTACAAACATTGTCATCCTATTTACAAACTATGTAAATACCGTCTATGCGCTAGTTGTTCTCCTAGAACTATAGATATTAAGATATACTTTTTAAGGGCTCTAATTTGACTTTATGAGTAAATATTTTGACAATGTTAGTGATTTGCTTATGCATAAGATAAGAAAAGTATAGTCATTGGTATACTTGTTTGAATCGTAAATATAGTTTATCAAAATCAAAATTTAATAATTCATATAAATTTATAATTGAAAATATTAGTGGTCAAAATTATACATACACAGTGAAACTAAGACACTTTAAAAAAAAAGGGGGGGTTCCTTTCCACTTTTTTCTTACTACATTTTGATTTCATATAAATAATGAATTTAGAACTCATTATTTTATATGACTAAGTCTTATGTACAACGAGTGTACATTAATTTTATTGTAAAACGGTCAGTTTGAGCGTAAGTTTAACTATATTTGTGGTAACTTTAACCACTTAAAGGGTAACTTTTAATTGTCGTTGGTTTGAATTTTATTTTATGTGTAATTCCTTATAGATACATGATTACATACTATAAAGATTAATATGATTAATATAATACATTATAGGTTTTTTGTCAGATAAAATTTGTTAATAGAAAAATAATAACTTTTGCAGTATAAAGGGTAACTTTAAATACTTTTAACATAACTTTAACCTGTTTTACAATAAATTGACGTACACCCGTTGTACGCAAGAATTAGTTTTCTATTATCATTAATTTAGAACCAATTTGCCTATTCAAGTTGGGTTTGTGTTGAATTGTTTCAAGTAACAGGTCATATATTTGATTGAGTTTATGCCAAATTAACATAGCCTCCAAGTCAAACTCAAGCCCGATTCGGGTCTAAGATAAGATTAGGTTATGTAGGGTCGTTTACTTTTGTTAAGCATTTTTGGGTGTTGATTGGGTTTAATTCAAATCAAATTCGAGTTGAGTTTAATTTTGGGTTCCATTGTAATCAAGTTGGGTTTAGAGGGTTTATGGCAAGTAAATTAAGGTTGGGTCAAATTTGAGTTTAATAAGACCTAATTTTTTTTTTTTTTTTAGATGCATATCTACCCTTAATTGCTTATAATTTTAGAGGTCTTAGGTGCACATTTGCATTATATACTTGAATTGTGCTCTACTACTTTTTATTTGTGTGTTTGATGAATTTTAGGTAATTTTAGATGCAATTGGCCGAATTACGGGTGGCTATTCTTGAGTATTTTAGATGCAACAGAAGGCGAAACTCAGAATAATACAATCCAGTATCATTAATTGTCTATATAGCAGGAAGAATGATGCACAAGCCAGAAGATATGGGAATGAATGTTGTTTGAATAAAGATTCGGAGGGGGGCGAGATACCATCAAGCTGTATTGGCTCAAAGTCAAATATATTACATAACAGTCACTTCACAAAAGGAAGATAGAACTAGACCAGTCAATTTGTATCAAAAGACTTATCCTGCAAAAGAGGTCCTATTAATCCTGCAACTACGAGTGGCTATTTTCGAATCCTAAAGACTTGAGCATCATTACTCTAAAAAACTGTATGGATTACAGAACCATTACTTTACAACTTAAACTGATGATGCATCTCCAAAAGTGCTGCCTGATCAGCTTGACTTTTTATTCTTGACAGCTAGTGCTTGTCCTTGAAAAAAAACGCAGAAGCATAAGAACTTAGCAAGAAAATATTTTCCATATATGAAATCACATACGAATTAGCAAAAGCATATTTGTTGGTACAACTTGGTGGCATAAGTGCATAACATAGATACTACAGATCAGGGGTGAAGCCAGGAATTGAAACATGGGGAGGCTGTGATTTATTGAAGTTGTCAAAATCTGCTTCAACCACTAAGCTATACACTAGAAGGTTAAACATAAGTACAACTTTATTGTATAAATATATGGGTGCCAACCTTCAAAATAAAAAGGTGACCAGTTGGGTCAAGGGGAGCCGGGCCTCCACCAGCCCCCCTGGGCTCCGCCCTTGCTACAGAGATGGTCAAATTAAAAAATTTCGTAACTTTTTTGGTTGGGGCATCAAATATGGCAACCGCGATCATGAGTGATCAATACCATCCATCCCCCTGGGATTGCTTACACATAGTTGGAAGCACACCAAAACTCATGCTCAATTGCTCACCAAAATGACCAATATAAGAATTTATGTTAATGGCGAAACAAGTGCTAGAAAGAACTATATAATGGTTCAAGAAAAAGGAAATTGAGCAGTTAGTAAAATTTTACCATGAAGCTGAGGAGGTTGAGGAGTGGGCATGGTCCTTCAGCTGAGCCCATTTGGTTCTCTGAAACAAGCTTTGTTTGTTCAGCCAATGTCTCTTCCGTCCAATGAAACTCTGTTTGGAACTTGAGATTCGTCATTTCAAGATCCATACATAACTTGTTTTTGTGAGGTGCCAAAACTCTCTCTACTGAGGGCATTAGCCAATCTAATTTAAAGTGCATCAGTCGAAGGTCAAGTAGGACTGAGTTGAGGTAATTAGCTTCAGATTTATCTAATGACCTTCCTTCATTGTTCTCAAGAAAAACAACCATCTTAGCTAGAGATTCTAAGGCCCAAGTAAGAAGACTTCCACTGTTCACAGCATGCCCTTCTAAAATGTTCCCGTACTTATCCCATATCTTCTGCATAATCGGAATCAAATGAGAGCTCACATCAACTCCAAGGAATTTTGCTTGTGATACATCTTTTTCAGCAATCTGCAAAGAAATATATAACAGTTGAGGCAGAGGCCGAGAAACAAAAGAATTGCGATTTATAAAATAGATAGAGTAATGGTTATATGCAGGTTTGTGACAACCTAACTAAGAAATAGGGGTCACCAATACACAGTACCTTAGAAGAGTTCACCGCTGGAGCTGAATCACCATTTTTCTGACCCTTGAACTCTGAAATCAAATTTAACGAATTAGTTTGAGAGATGAATATAACATACAGAGTATAAACATAGCTACAATTGATAGTAAAAGAGCAAGAAGCTCAAGTATATGATGTGCAAATTCTTCATCAATTCTAGCAAATATGTGCTCACAAATTCTTCCTCTTATTCTAAATTGTGTTTTCAACATGAAATGTGGGGGATAAAGTTGAATACCTTTATGAACTATGTGCTTTTGATTAGTTTGAATACCCTGGGAAAGTTGTGCGCCATTGTGGGGATTCACTTCTTCATGGATGAGCTCAGGAGCATTGTGACAAGAAGAATCACTTAATAGCTTATTATTACTCGTATTTTTATGTTCTCCATCTCCTCCTTGTCCGTGTTCTTCTACTTCAACTTTTGATTGAACACTTTCTTTATCTTTTCTTTGTTCACCTCCTTCAGAATCCATTCCACTTAACACATACAAAGCACAACCATTTGAATTAGCATTTTTGAAGAAAACCTCAAACATTTTTTTCAATGTCATTTTACAAAAGTCTAGGCTAATCTCACCTTGTGTTCAAACACAAATCGGTCCAGAGCCATGACGGGGGTGGCCAGAAGAGATCGGCATAGCCCGGATAAACATATACAAGATCACAATCATCACCCTCAAAGTGATAAACAGCAACAGAAAATTCATCCCAGGCCATGAATATCTTACTGTCAAGAGCCGTCTTACCTGAATATTGAGGAAAGCATCCCCAAGGGAATACAATACAATTGCCCCTCCACCCCGGAAAATCCTTAACCGCGGCGAAAAAACAACCATCAGGAGTCACAAAAAGCATCCTATCACTACCAATACCATCAACCATATCCCACTTCTCCTCCTCCTCATTAAGCTTGAACACTTTAAACGCCGCGTTTCCTTTCTTAGACCATCTATACACTAAGTACAATATATCATCACTCGACACGACTAATCGTTTCTTATTCTCACTACCCGACCCCTCCCACAGCGGTTCCTCAACAACACTCGACATCTTCAGCGAGTTATAATCCATCGAACACACCCTACCTTTCCTATCAACACCATAAATCTTCCCCTTAAAACTAAAAATATCATCAAATTTCCTTTTACCCGTAAAATATACCTTCCGTTCCTCCCCACTCTTTAGACTCTTCACTGTAAGAGCTATCTCATTAGATAGTTCCACAATCATACAATCATCGAGACTAGGACGGTGAGTTGCGCAATTCGGGTTCATAAACAGAACAATCTTATACTCATGTGGAAATGACGGCTTCGTTCTAAAAAACAGGATTATCAATCACACGAACATCAAAACCAAACGATGTATTATTACTATCAACATAACTATAATTATAAAACATACCTAACTCCAACACACGAAACTTAGACAAATCCAATTCAGACGGGAAATCGATAGGCATAACAATATAATCGGCGATGTTGCGAGAAAGAGGCAGTCTAACGCATAACGAACCGGGGAACAACTCTTCAGCGGTGCATAACCAAGGCGGGAGATTTGGATTGGCGTCAGATTTTATTAGAAAAACAGAGTGTGCTACTAAAAATTTAGTGTAATTTTTCTCAGAATCTGGAAGTTTGTGAGGGAGAAGAGGGGTTAAGATGGTTTTTGAGTCGAGGAGAGAGAGAGGAGCTGAAGCTCGCCATGTCTTGCAGACTCGCCGGAAATGGAGGATATCGGTTCTGGCTTCGAGGCGTTTTGCGATGGCAGGAAGTAGCTCCGGCGGTAATTCCGACCAGGAAAGTTCCCGGAGACGGTGGGTTTTCATTTTAGGAGAAGACATTTGAATTTTTGATGATTGTAAATTGTGGTTTTTGGATAACAAGCAAGTAGAGTTGAGAGTGTTTGGAGTTGTATATACATCCTCTATTTTTGGCTTTTGGTGCCCGCCTAAAAGGACATAGTTCTTGCCGCCAAAATTTTATCCTAGGTTTTTATAGGAGTTTTCACTTTGAGTTATAATTTGGGCCCTGGCAATGGCTTAGGGCCTGGACCAAGATTGATGGTAAACCTAACTATTGATAAACACAGAAAAAAATATTTGATCACAAATATAAAATACTCGAGCAAATTTATTCAAATTTCCTCAAATTGAGCAAAATAAAACACTGCATACATATATAAAGAACACTGCATGCATATACGTAGTATAAAAAACAAAAACTTAATCATTTAATTTTTTAATTTATGAAAAGGTAAGCATTTAATGTTACCTACCCCACATAAATCTAGAATCTATTTTCAGAAAGTATCCAATTTTCAATATTTTTATTTTCATTTCCTCTCACTAAAAAAAAAAAAAAAAAAAAAAAGATTATTCAAAAGAAATTGTTCATGTTTTTTCACCCAAATTTTGTTGGAAAATTTGATGAGTATAATCCCAACTTTGCTCAATTCGCCCTAAATAATCACAACTTTTGATTTTTTTTTAATAATTCGAACTTTGATATGAATTTACTTTTAATGATTCCAACCGGTCATGTAACTTGTTATAACAAGTTACATGACACGTGTCGGCATATGATAGGTCAGAAAAATTAAATAAAAAACCTTTAAAAAAATTAAAAACTCAAACTTAACGGCAACCCCTGCCACCGCCGGCAGGCTGTTGCCGCCGGCACCCCTCCCCTTCCCCGTCCCATTTTCGGCCGCCATCCCTTTCCCCACCCATTTTCCGGCCCTCTAACCCTTTCTCCATCCATTTTCCGGCCCTCCTACCTTTCCCCCGCCCATTTTTCGGCCCTCCTTCCCTTTCTCTGCCCATTTTACGACCCTCCCCCCCTTGCCCTGCCCATTTTCTTGCCCTCCTCCCCTTTTCCGCCCATTTTCCGACCCTTTTCCCTTCCCCTTACCCCGTTCTCGGCCCCTATCCCACTCACCCATCCCGTTTCAGATCTGGGTAGATGGGTGGTTTCAGGTTTGGTTTGGGTTGGATGTGGTGGTTTTGGAGTCGGGATGGGGTAGTGGTGGTGGTTTCGGGGTCTGGATGGGGGTGGGGGTGATGGTTCTAAGGTTTGGGTTCGAGTGTCGGTGGGGATGGTGGTGGCTAAGGTGGTGGTGGTTTTTATAATATTTGATTTTACTTTTTTTTTTTTCAATTTGATTAATTTTTTTTTTTTTTCATATTGACCAACCACATGGTGACGCATGTGCAATTAATCTCAAATCACAAATATGAACCTGTTTAACCGGTTTCAAATCACTTGGGACCGTTTAAAATTAATAAGGTATAAAGTTGGAATTATTAAAAAATAATCGATAGTTAGGATTATTTTGGGCAAATGAAGAAAAGTTCGGATTATTGTGGGCAATTTTTCCATTTTTTTTCCTTATATTTAATTATAATGCCTGTCTAAAATATGATCTTATGTATTTCTTGTGATGTTCATTGTGATATTTAATAATAGTTTCTATTTTTTATCAAAAAAAATTATGTGCTTTATATTTGTTTGTAATTTATGATTAAATATCAACAAAATGCATTTCGGTATAGTCATGGTTATATTATATAATGTTCTTTAATACTCCCTCCGTGTTTTAATAAGTATTACACTTATTAAATTCAGCCGTGTTTTAATAAGTGTTACATTTTCTTTTTTGGCAAAAAACTTCATTTTAATATTATATCTTTTATTTTCATGATCCCTACCGAAACCCACTAACTTTTTTTCTTCACATTCATTACTTTACAATAAACTATTAACTCCACTAACTTTCATTTACAATTTTTTTAATACTCCAACTATCCCAGGTTCCTCTTATTTTATTTCAATCAATTAAATTACCTAAAAGGCTAAAACTATGTGTCGGTCAAAGTGTTATACTTATTAAAACATGGAGGGAGTATTAGTTCTTTTGGTAAACTAATTTGAGCTGTCATGTTCCTCGATTGTAATCGTAATAGTTATACAAGAAATTTGAACATTCAGTCCCAAATTCGGACAATCCCCACCAATCGAAACCTATAGATAATAGTTATACAACAACTTGAAATAAAAACTAGGCCTAAAAGATCCAGGGACCGAGGGAAGATCAATCTTTACCTATACAAGAAAATAAGTGTTCTTACATTCTTTGAAAACAGGGGAAACCAGTATTGTTTAAGAGATGATCATTGATGTATCCTTCTTTACAATGACATGTATATGAGAACGCCGTAGTTTTATTGCAAACACCTCTACCACAATTAGCCCATCTACAAGCTATCAAATAAAGAAGAGTTTTGTCAAATAAGTGTCAGCCACATTATAAAAAACTGATATGAGAATTTGTAGAAGGCATTGCTGTAGTTACGTTCGAAAATTGATGCATTTGATGGACTTTTCCGATTATTGAGGTGATGGAGCAACATCTGAGCTGGAATAATTAAGTGTACCTTCAAAGTAATAAGCATAACAAGGAGACAAAAGGTAGAGGTTTCTATGTAAGCAATATACAAAAAAATGTCAGATTGTTTTAACTTCACAATTTTAGTCATGTTGTATCTTTAGTAAATTAGGCCAATTTTACAATATTTTAAGAAGCCGGCTACTATTCCGACTGTGTTGAGTATTGCTATGGGTAGAGGTTGGCACATTCATCAGTTAGATGTTCAAAATGCGTTTCTTCATGGTAATCTCAAAGAAACCGTGTTTATGCATCAACCTCCAGGATTTGTGAATCCTAATGCTCCTACTTATGTTTGCCGACTCCGCAAATCTCTGTATGGCCTTAAACAGGCTCCTCGGGCTTGGTATCAACTGTTTGCTAATTATCTTTTGCAGATTGGTTTTGTATGTAGCAAAAGTGATAATTCCATCTTATTTTGCGTCATGTCATGGTGCAACTAATTAAACATAATTCTTTCAAAAAAAAAACTAATTAAACATAAAAGTAACCTCCTTTGTTCAAAAAAAAAAAAATCATTTAAAAAAAAAAAATAGAAACTGTTAAGAAAATAACTCCACTTATTTATAAGAGTAAGGCCATTTTTCTAGTGGACTAACCCTAACTATTCGGGACTTCGGGTAACCTCATTTGCTCATGGTAACCCTGACCCATCATCCTCTTACATTAATATATACAAAGTGGCTACACCATATGGCTGACCACAAATATAAGAATTTGTGTACAATTAATGCTATTTGATTGTATGCTTAAGTCATAATTAAAAAATTTTGTTACAACATTTTTTCATGTTTTATAAAATATAACATTAAAAAAGCATATTCTAAAGGCCACAATTTCATGAAATTAAAGGGAAAAAAAGAGGAAGATGGAGATGTGGAGGTGATGGAGGCAGTCAATAACTAAGGTTGTTAGGTCCTGTTCACTTCACCTTAAAAAAAATATTTAGTAAAAATAATATTCAGTTCAATAATATTAATTTCAGTTCGGTAAATATAAGTTCATAAAAATAATTTTAGTTTAGTAAAAAATCCGCAACCTTCAAGAAGAAATACAAAAGAGAATCAGTAAACATAATTTTAGTTTAGCAAAAATAATTTCAGTTTAGTAAATTAATTTAATTTCAGCCAAAACTTTAATAAAAATAAGGAAAAATTGCCCGAAATAATCCGACCTTTGGCTCATCCGCCTAAAATAATTCCACCTTACGATTATAATTTAATAATCCCACCTTTAATGTCAATCCGCTTTAAATGGTCCCAACTGGTCATTTAACTTGTTATAGCAAGTTACATGACACGTGTCGGCATTTGATTGGTTAAAAAAAAACTAATTAATTTTGTTAAAGAATAAAATAAAATAATTAATTTTTTTTAAAGAATAAAATAAAATAAGCTACCCCCACCAGCCAACCACCTTAGCCGCGCAGCCCCACCATCCCGATCCCCTGCTTGGCCACTAGCGCCGGAGCGTTGCGCCGCGGCAACACCCTCCCCTTCCCCTTGAGCCGCCGACTCCTCTCCCTCTAACTCTGAAACCACCAACTACCCTCAAAAACTCCTTCCCCGTCCCGATCCCAGCTCTCCTCCCCTTCCCCGTCCCGATTCCATCCCCCATCCCCCTTCCCGATACGGTGTGATTTCAACACTCTCTGTTTAGGGGTAATTTTACCCCCTTTTATAGACAAATGAGAGGCCGAAAAGTAAGTCGAAACATGGCATCATGCTCAGCTAAAAATGGCCAATATGAGCATGACATGTGGCCTAAGAGAGATATCAGAAAATGAAGGGCTCAAAGCCCATTAAAGGAAATATGCCTAGCATGAAGCAAACCCTAATACACGTGTCAACCACGTATAGGGCAGCCGATCTTCCTAGGTTATGAAACCCTAGGAGCATGATCTTCCACTTCCCTATAAATACCCCATGATTTCACGATGGGAAAGGAACTACATAATTCTAAAAGGCACTATGACCAAAAATATGCTCTCACTTCTCTCTCTAAAATTCCGTTTTCGGTCACTAACTTGATCGTCGGGGGCGGATCTCCGTTAAACCGGAGATTTGTTGTTTTGCAGGTGTTCAAGCCGTTGCATTCCGGATCTGTCTCCCAAGGGAATTCATACCCCCTTTCAGGTTATTCCAAAAATCCTGGAAACATTTAGCGCCGTCTGTGGGGAGGCACATCTGGAATGACACTTAGCCATGATAGAACACCAACTCCAGAAATAGAATGCTCTGTTATAAATGTAACCCAATGTGAGGGCAAAGTCATAATGATCCCAGATTGTCGTCCTTAAGAGAATGAGACGAAGTCTTGTGTGAAGACAAAACTTGGGCGGTACTATGTGCCAAAATCATGATCATTATTATGATTACAAAAAAAATTCAAATAAAATTTTCGTCAAACTATATTGTTTGATATATATACATGCAACAACATCTGCCGAGTGCCATCAAAGTCGGCACAAGAAAAGCATTTGAACGGCTAGAATGTCAAGCCCCTCTATGGCTGTTCGAGCAGCAAGAAACGAGCCAAGTGACATGATGGCCGAGTGAATTGCCTAAGCTCTCTCTTCACAGCATAGGTACTCGCATGCTACCAAGCAATTT